TTGGATTCTCTATTTTGTTGAGAAAGGGGATAGAGTTAGAGGTCTCTCCCGTGACATTGTCACTTTTCCAAATGGCCTTCTACTTGGTACCCCCTACTCCTGTTTGCTGAAGCTCAACACAGATGTTGTTGTTCCTCTGGAAGGAGATATTATTGGTTTGGGAGGTGTTATTCGGGATCATCATGGACATATGATTGATTACTACTCTATGGGGATCAGGGGTCCTATGTCTGTGGATCATGCAGAGCTGTTGGCTGCCCTGGAAGGCATTCGCTTTGTTCAGCGTATGAACTGAAGGATTTCAGTGGTGGAAATTGACTCTCTAAATGTTGTCTCTTTGGTGGACACTCCTTCTCCTTTTGCTTCCTTGGCTCCTATTGCAGATGAAGTTCACGCTGGTCTGACTATTACTGGCTGCTCTAAAGTTTTTTTATGTAAGGCGCACTGGTAATGGTGTTGCTCATTCCCTAGCTAAATCGGTTGACTGTTTGTCCTCTTGTTTTTGGTCTGTTTCTGTCCCTTTGTTTTCAAGACAGAGTGTTGTTGAGAACTTTTCTGGTTAGGTTACCCTATCTGCCTCTTCAAAAAAAAATTCTTTCCATGTTAATTTAATTATTTTATTACTTGTTGATTATCATTTTGAATGACACACATGTGCAGTTGTTAGATAGAAAGAACAAAACAAAAGATACACCCATTATCTCCTTCACATGGCGGACACCATAAGTATGTTTAATCGACAACTTTAATTGGCTAACATCCAAATTGCTAAGCAAAAACTTGATTTAAACGTGGATTATGATACTCCTTTCTTTTTGTCATCAACCTATTTAATGCGTATATGAGAAAAATAATTATTTATTATTACTATCACCGGCAAAGTCAGGGCTCACGAATAGGACTTTTCAAATAGACCGGGCCACCCTAGACCGGCACTGATTTCAAGTTTGTGCCGGCAAAATGCTCTCCTCAGACTAGGACCCGAAAGGGCCCAGGTCGGGTTTAGGTCCGAGCACATGTCGGCCGAGCACGGAATCATCCTAGTTTTTCTCTTTTTCTTTTTTTAACTTGTTCTTTTTCAAAAAAAGAAAAAAAGAAAAAAAATTAGTGTTAAAAAATAGCAACTTGAAAAGATGTGAAATTTTAACAAATAATTTAATCTTATTATTAATCACTTATATAATAATATAATTTATAAATTTTGTAGAAATTATAATTAAAAATAAATTCTTTATTATTAATTACTAAGAACTATAATAGTTTTTAGAAATTATCACATCACAATAGATGAGTAAATCTCAACTAGGTTGATACATACTCATCTATCTATCATTTGCAGCACTCCAAAAGACAAAAAATAAAATTTACAAATAACTTTCTACTATTTATCTCTTGTCATCAACTCATTAAGTTTATCTTCAATATTAGCTATCCAGTTGATACATTGAGTTCTCTTCTCGTACCTCCACCAATTTTGTAAACATATTACTGCCTGTAAAATAGACAGATCTAGCGATAGTTTACAATCGTCAATCAACTGTCCTAATGTGCTGAAGGTGGATTTCAAAGCTACGGTAGAAACCTGCACTGCTAGTAAATCAAGAGACATGATGGAAAGCACAGGAGATGAAACAGCTCCATATACTTTACACCATTGCAAAATATTGAATTCCTCATTATCTTGATGTTTAACTAAACGTGCAGCTAAATATTATTCAATTTCAGAAAATTTTCTTGATGATGATCTTAATCCACGACTACTATATATACCAATTAGCTTCTCTATCATTGATTGCCTATCAAAATTCTTGCCTTTGTTCTGTCTAGAGCTCGTAGAAGCTATAAGTTGAGATGATACACCATGTCTAGCTACATACTCTTTGAATAATCATTAAAAATAATATGTAATTGTATTATAATGAGTAAGAGCAATATTAAACTGACTGCTACCGCATTTCATTACCATCTTATCATACAAAGAATTCAACAAAATTTAAAGTCCAAGATATTTCAAAAATGGATCAATAAGAATCCCCAAACAAAAAATAATAGGAATGAGTCTAAAACTCTTTTTAAATTTTCTTTCCATTTTAGAAATTATGTTTAAAAAAATAATGATCTCTACAATAAGTATTAAAAAGGTTTAAATATTTAAAATCTGTAAAGCAGCTTGAGTAATAATTGGATAATAACAACCAAATAATAACACAATATCATCATAAAAAACGTATAGCATCTCTTTCACATAACTTGTAATTGTCCATTCATCATCAATTATTCTATACACATTACTAGAACTAGATGCATAGCTAGAACCAGAAGCATAGAAGCAATAAAATCATTTATAATTTTTATACTCTATTGCTGCATTTAACATTACATAAATGGGATTCACCTATGGTTAATATCTTTTAAAATTAACTTAGCTTTTAAACTTTTTCTTCTACACAATTATTTCCATCTCTTAAGCCTTTGTTCATAAACATTATGAGGATAAGCTATAGCCCTAAATTTTTCTATCATTGGTCTAATTTTATCAAATTCACTTTACACAATTAGATTTAAAATGTGACACATGCATCTAATATGAAAAAGTCACCTTGTCATGGCAATAGTAAAGATGATTTAACATGATTTATAGTTACATTATTATTGCTTGTATTATCTAGTGAAAAAAAACTTTTCAATAATTTCTAATTTTAAAATTTCTTTAATTATTAAATTTGTAAAATTCACACCAATGTGTGAATCTTCAAAATAAAATAAAAAACAAATCTTTTAAATGTTTGCCAAGTGTCATCTACCTAGTGTGCATGATACATAAATAACTGGTTTATGCATTAGATGTCCAAATATCAAAAGTCAGAGAAAATTTATAATTTAAGATTTAAAATAATATTTTTTTTATTTTTTCCTCGTGATAATATTTCAAAATATCATGTTGACAATTTGGGCCAGAATTTTTTTGAAAAGCAGGATAAAAAGCATTCCTAATCATATCCTCAAATTTATCATCTCCTATCAATTTAAAAGGAATGTTTTTAAGAATAATAAACCCGATGACACATTTTCTAGCTCTAATTATGTCGTAGTTTCATGAATCAAGACTACCGAAGGCAGATAATTGAAAGATTAAAGATTACAGATGTCACCTTGAGCCGTTCCTTGACCTCTGTCACATTTTTCCAAATGTTCTTTGAGGTGGTTAGTCCCGCTCTTGTGATGAGCTTCTAAAACATGGCCGCATAATGCACAGTTCGCCTTTTTGGGTGAGAAGTCTGCTATGTGCTAGATCATTGCTAGATTCGAGTTTGGCATCAGTAGGAGGAGGAGGAGTAGCTGTAGGACTTAATTTAGAAGATGGATTTTTCCCTTCGTAATTGGAGGATGAAGCTATTGGAATTAGAGAATTAGAGAGTATTTGGAAGTATTGAAAAGTATAAGAGAAACTAAGAGAGAATATTATTGTATTAGAGAGATCAAGAGAGAGTATTAGAGAGAAGAAGATGAGTTTTGGATTAGAAAAATAAATAAAAACCTCCTCTATTAGTAGAGGCAACCCCAGTCAAATGAGAAACATACCCTAAAGCTTTGACCGTCTTAACCGTTTTTAGGATATTTTGGTCATTTGACCAAAATATAGCCATTTGGCTATTTTGCTCGGCCTGAATTGGACCGAATTTGGACTGTCTAGCCCAACGACTAGTTTTCTAACCGTTGGATCGAGTTGCATAAGGGCCGTATAGTCCAACCACTAGTTTTCCAACAATTAGACCGAGTCGAGCTTCCCTGTGGTTACTTAGAGAGTCGTTTGGGCTCCCTAACTCGGTCTGAGACCTCGATTTCTCTGCCTAGACCTCTAGAGCCTAGGTCGAGCTGAGCCCGAGTTAGGCTTTGGGGACACAACCCAGACCCAAAACTCAACCAGGCATCGCACTTTGGGTTTTTTAGGCCCAAACCAGGTTTTGAACCAGCCAAGTCTGTGCTGGACACAGGACCGGGTCTGGGCCAAAGCCTGAGTGCACTACCCATAGGGTAAGAAGGGAATATAATATAAATAAAATAAAATAAGTATAAATCCACTTACATTAAAATAGATAACATTTTACATTTGTTCTCAATGATTTTTCATATTTTGGAATCTTTACTTGGAAATATTAGATTGTGGCAATATTAAGCTTCACTTATGTCCCAATAATGAATATGATGTTTACAGTATGTATATTCTTTAAAAAAAAATCCAGTGGAATCATTTGCCCATATTATGTTTTGTGTGACTCCACCATCACCAATATCTAGAAAGAATTAAAAAGCCATAAATATTTTCAGTGTTTTTCTATATTGGTACCTAAATATATCACTTAAAATAGGCAACCAAAGATAAAATTAACTAACCACCGTCTAAATTGTACTATATAGACCAACAGACAATTTGGAACGATGATTAGCACCACGCATCTTGATTTTCACTCATCATGATCTATATGTAGAAAAAATTATATCATTTTAAAATTTTTAATATTATTTTTGCTATGTGCAAGAAGGACGACTATTAAGCTGTCTAAGAATTAACATATTAAACTAGTTCGATTCATATTTTAGAAGACTCTAAACTTTGTGAAAATATCACTATATATATATATATGTAATGATGTTTTGAACAAGATGTATGATACGGATCATGAATTTGATGAGCTAATTAGTCCATCTCACAAAAACATTTCATCTCACTATATCATTACCCCCCATCACATAGATAGATGGATATGTATATGTGTGTGTGTGCGTGCGTGCGTGTTTGTGTGCATGTATGTGCTTGCGCGCATGTGTGCGTGTATATGTATGTATGTGTGTGAGTGTGTGTGCGCGCGCGTGAAGTAGGAAATTTGTTGCGCTCGAGCTCACGTGGCGCGGTCTGATTGGATGGGAATTCAGCTAAGGTTTAATGAATTGAAGGAATGAGGGGAATTAGAATCTGAGGGTTTTTTTTGCAAATATACATTCCTTTTCTTTCCCAAGGTAACGAGTTACTCTTTCTTCCTCATTTCTTCCCCACCTGCTCCTCCTCCTTATTTTTGCCTCTCTGCCCTCCCTAGCTGGCAAAATCGACAGATCGGGTTCCCTCATTTCTTCTCCAGGTCACGGGTTCTTCAACATTTTTGTCCAGGTTGTGCTCTCATCTTTTCCTTCGTCTTCCTCATTTTTCTCCCCTCCCGTCTCCTTATTTCTTCCCCTGAGTCTCTTACCGAGTTTCTTCCCAGCACCTCCACCCAATCTCTGCTCGGTCAAAAAGGAAAAAATCCCTCTCGTCTACTGTCTGCTTGGGCGCTCACCCATCTCTGCTCGAAACCAGATCCGCAATTCCTACGCTAGGACCCAACGGACCACAAAGAGAATGTGAGTATATCCCTTGTGAGCGCAATTCCCCTTATTCATTTTGTTGTTTGCATATCCCTTGTTAATGACATAAACTTGCTGCAGTTATTGGACCAGACAATGATATATTTTTACCTATTTTCCATCATACTATGGGTCTGAAAATAGGCATGTTAAAATATTTTTGAATGAATGTCTAGAATCCTGTTAGTTCTACTGTGATATATTGTTACGACTATCATCTTGAAGAATTTAGAAATTCCAATATTCTTTTTAGTAAATTCTTTCTTCTCAAAGTTGCCTTAACATAGAAATTCCAATATTCCTTTCAGTAAATTCCAATATGGTGGATATGCTCTTCTTGCTATATTCTGTATGGTCAGATTCCATGTACAAACCTTTGTACATGCGAAAAAAATGAAAAGAGAAATGCATGCAGGACAAATGGCTGAACCTGGTTTTTGAGTTCAGTCATTTCATTCAAATTATGCCTTTCTGCCTTGGAAGATGATATAAATGGGATCAATCTCTTTGGTGCTTTATTAAAGTTTGATGAGCTGAATGTGCTATATGGTAATTATAAGTTTCAAGTTGAAAACATAAGTTGGATGCCTGCTATAAGGTTACAAGTATGAGTGAGTCATTTTCTAAGAAGGAAAAAGTTAGATTGAGTTTTTTCGACTACAATTGCAGAAGAAAAATGTCCACAATAAGATGATAGTATACTTTTTGTATGAATTTTATCTTGTTTGTGGTATGTTTTTTGCAGATAAAAGATGAAGAACTTTTCGGAAGAGTTCAGTGGAGAAGAAGATGAGAGTTTAGTTCAAAGAAGATGTTATTGTGGGTTAATTTGTAGAATATGGATGTGCAAGCAAGGACACAATAAGGGCTTGGAATTTTATGGATGCCCGAGATACAAGGGACCTAATTGCAAGGGTTGCAAATTCTTCGAATGGGTGGGTGATACCAAGAACATCACAAAAATGCTGGAAAGGCTGGAAAAAATGATGAGATTTTGAATAAAATGCTGAATGATGTAATTTTATATTTAAATTTTATAAGTATCATTGTACTGATATTGTTGCTCTATGTTACAGTCAAATGACAAAGCAACATATCAGTGAATGACGTACTGATGTATCTAAATATCCTATTGTAAATGAATGTTCAAACTGGTTATGGTTATTTGTTATGGTTCAGTTGTTATGATTATTTGATATACCTTAATATTGTTTCTTTGACTTTGCTGTCTTGAGAAGGCAGTGAGAAGAATGTTAAGAGTACTAGCAATTTGATGACTTGAGAAGAATGTCTCTTGTACCTTAATATTGACAAAAAAAAATAGCATGTTATGTGAAAAAAACATGAAATGGACTTAACTATGAACCCAATTTGCTTATCAGTTCGATACTAGATCATGAACTCCATTTACAGTTATCAGTTCATGGTAAACTTGCAGCTTAGCTTGGTTCAGCTCTTCAGAAAAGGATCCAGACAGAGACTTAACATTCTTGAACAACAAAATTAACTACAAAAGTCCTCATTCCCACATTTTCTCGATATTAAGGCAATAGTGAAGTCCATCAACCTAAAAGAAAAACTTAACAAATACAATATCAGATTTGAAACTATTGCATTACTACAATATACTCAAAGGCAAACTAAAGTTTCATCACCAATTCTTAAAAAGTGCATCTCCATAAATTTTGTTTGTGAATTCACATATTGAGTTACAAATTCTTTTAACTATGTTTGTGAATTCACATATCCATCAAAGAATGAGTTGATGCTTTCACTCCTTTGAGTTGATCTCATTCCTGCAAAAAAAATACCTTTTAAGAAGCATGACACCCAATGGTCTCGATACATGTACATAGTTTGCAGCCATCCATATTCTTCTTCTATTATCTTAAACTTCTCCTTCATCTCGAGCCAATGCAAATTACAGTTCTCAATATTACCACTATTACACCACAAGTCCTAATATTTTTAAAATTCTTCATCATAAACAGAATTTAAAGTATGCAAATGATCGGTAATATATCGCTGCAGATGCCAATAACAATAACGATGCCTTGTGTTTGGAAAGACTTTATGAATGGCATTACACATTGCTCGGCCTTGGTCTATGATGATAGTACCTGGTTCAATTCCATGCATGCAGTTTAACCATTCCTAAAATAACCAAATAAATGTTTCTTCTTGTTCATCAGCTAGAAATGCGCAACCAAATAAAGTAGATTGCCTATGATGATTCACCTCAGTAAATGATGCAAATGGAAGACTAAACTTGTTGGTTTTATAAGTCACATCAAACACAATAACATCATTAAACTTCAAATAAGTTGCTCTTGATTTTTCATCTGCCCAAAAACACTTCTCATTGTCCAGTACAATCTACTTCTAATGCAAAATAAAAATTTGCATCATTAGCGGCCTTTTTTTTTGAAAATATTGGATAACAGATATACATTCATTACCAATATTGTTGTTGTTAGCCCTTATGTTTTGATGATGTTTTACAACCACCATTATCGGTACTAATGGCTTATTAAGTATAAATGTAGTGAATTCATATATCAAGCTTATTAGTGCCACATATGGAGGATTGGATGGAATATGCACTACAACGATGATATCCAAAGGAGGAGGAGGCATAGTGATGAAGCAAACGTTATTTCAAGAACAACAAATTCAAATAGAAGCTTCATCAAATTCAAGCTATATCAAGACTCAAGCATTGCATTCTATATGAGGATATTAGCTATCTTTTATTTTTTTTCTCTAGTGCTAGAATGTAGGCAAAGAGTTATCGACTTCACTTGAAGCTATTGAGATATCACACACACGTTTTCATACTTATGTTTTTAAGCGTTTTTCACAAAATACTATTTTTCAAAAGTATGAGGACCTATCTGCAAAATTCCTTTTCCAAACAGTTTGTTTTTAGCATTAAAAACATTTTACAAAGTTTCATAATTTTCAGAGGTCAAATAAATATTTTCTAAATATTTTAGTTGAGTCAAAAATAGTGTTTTGGGATGTATCAGAATGCGGTCGACTGCATCGGTCGACCGCACCTATGTTCATTCCTCACTGGGCAGCAGAGAGTTCGTCGGTCGACCGTCGCGGTCGACCGAGAGCTTCCTTCGGTCGACCGCACCGGTCGACCGGATAAGTCTCTGCTTGTTTTTCTCGTTTTTGATCTGGATAGCGGTCGACCGAAATTTCCACTTCCCAACTTCAGTGTGCTCTTTCTCTTTGCCATAGGGTCGTTGTAAAGAGAGAGTCTTACACCATTTCTACTATCTTGTGAGTGTGATCTTGTGTAGATCAACTGTGAGGGAGTGTGATCTTGTGTAGATCAAACTGTGTAGTGTGAGATCGTGAGGGGATCGCTGTGTAGACGAAGTTCCGGCTTCCAAATCGGGTTGTGTAGTGGATTTCTCCTCGAGAGTGGGGAGCGGGGACGTAGGTCAGCGGACCGAACCTCGTTAACATATCGCGCGTCACAGGATAACGATTCCTAACTCTATCTCCTCTATTTTGATTGCTTTGGTATACTGTGGTTTGCTTGTCTTATTTTTATTGCATAATTATAGCCTCTTGACCCTAATCACCCCCCCACTCTAGGGTCCAACAATTGGTATCAGAGCTTGGTCTCTATATTAGTTTTTGGTTTAATCACTTTAGAGAAAAGATCTTATGGAGGCTTCAATGAATGTGCATATGCTAGAGGGATAATCCACCACTAGACCATCACTCTTCACCGGTAGTAACTTTGCTTATTGGAATGCTAGGATGAGAATTTACCTTCGTTGCATTGACCTTGACATCCTAGAACTCATAAAGAAAAAGTACGTAGAGAAGTCCAAAGTTGGGACTATGACTGATGGAGAAAGGCACCAAGCCAATCTCAATGCTAAGGCTATGAATGCCTTAATTTGTGGTCTTTCCCCCAACGAGTATAATAGGGTTTTCCACATGTGCAACCGCATACGAAATTTGGGTGAAATTGTGTATTACACACGAAGGAACCCCCCAAGTCAAGGAATCCAAGATTAGTGGACTTATTCATGAATGTGAGTTATTTCAAATGCTTCCAAATGAATCAATTGATGCTATGTTTTCTCGCTTCACTAACATTATCAATGAATTGCATGGTCTTGACAAGAAATTGACTATTCAAGAGATGAATTACAAGATTCTTCGTTCATTGACTCCGATGTGGGAACGAAATTGACTATTCAAGAGATGAATTACAAGATTCTTCGTTCATTGACTCCGATGTGGGAACCCAAGGCGATGGCAATAGAAGAAGCTCATGACCTTACCACTTTACCTCTCGATGGCCTCATCGGAAAGCTCAAGGTCCATGAGAAGAAGCTCAAGGGGAAGGAGAAGGAGGAAGTGCCCTCACGAGATGTTGAGGAGCCATCACCAAAGTTGAAGACCATAGCTCTCAAAGGAGCTAGTGATAACTCCTCTTCGTCATCGGATAGTGAAGTTGATTTTTCTAGAGAAGTGGCTCATCTCTCTAGAAGAATTTCTAGACTCATAAAAATGAACAAGAAATTTAACCCACTATCTAACAACAAATTTCCTTCTCGTGTAGGAAAATGCTTTGAATGCAATGAACCGGGCCATATCGCTAAGGATTGCCCAAGGCTCAAGGAGAAGTACATGAAATACAAGAAGAAGAAGGCTATGTATGCCGGATAGGAAGAATCTGAACCAAGTGATTCGGATAGCAATGAAGAATGAGCCAAACTTGCTCTTCATGATCCCAACGTTTGCTTCATGGCCCTTGAACATGAGGTAATATCCGACACCGAGAGTGAATCCTTCTACATGTAATGTGATCTAGCTACGGCTCTAGAAGAATTGAATATTGAATTCAAAAGAATGTCCAAAGAATTTTCTTCTTTTAAAAAGTTGCATGCTTCTTGTGATATCAAGCTAGAACAATTAACAACCTCTCTTGCACTAAAAGATGAATTGCTAGGAGATCTCGATTTCGAGAATAAGCAATTAAGATCAAAGATTGAGAGATTAGAAATTAAGGGTGGTAGGATTAGACCCACTCATGCTTATGCTAATCACCATCACTATGGTAGAAATAGGTTTCATGGTTCTCACACTCATACATACAAAAGAAATTTTGTGTGCACTTATTGCATGAAACATGATCATATTTCTACTCATTGTAGAATTAAACATAAATTTGAATTTTATGGATTGATATGGGTACCCAAAGGTACCAAGACGACTAACCACCAAGGACCCAAGACTTGGGTACCAAAAGTTACTACATCTTCATCTTCATCTCTTGTAGGGAATATCACGGCAACAACGTAAGGAGATGTGGTACCTTGATAGTGGTTGCTCACATCATATGACGGGCAACAAAGAGTTATTTGCAACCCTATCAAGAATTGAAGGAGGTAACGTCTCCTTCGGCGGTGGTGAGAAAGGTAAAATCATTGGTGTTGGTTCTATTGGTAAGAAACCCTCACCCGTTATAGAAGATGTTTATTTGGTAAATGGTTTGAATCATAATCTTCTTAGCATTAACCAATTAAGTGATAAAGGTTTTGATATTTTCTTTAAACCGGATAAATGCATCATTAGTATGAATGGAAAAATTGTTTTTATTGCTAATCGCAAATCTAATGTATACATTTTTGAGATGAATGAACTAGTGAATCAAGATGTGAAGTGCCTTGCGGCAATTGATGAAAACCCTTGGATTTGGCACAAGAGACTTGGACATGCAAATATGGAATTGATATCAAAATTGTCCAAGAGAAATCTTGTAAAAGGGTTACCAAATTTGCACTTCATCAAAGATAGCACATGTGAGGATTGTGTCAAAGGTAAACAAACTAAATCTTCTTTCAAATCCATCAATGAGGTATCAACTTCTAACCCTTTGTAATTACTTCATCTTGATTTATTTGGTCCTATGCGTGTTACCTCTCTTGGAGGAAAACACTATGTTTTTGTGATTATTGATGATTTCTCTCGTTTTACATGGATAATATTTCTTGCAAATAAAAATAATTGTTTTGAAGAATTTTCTAATCATGTGAAACGAATTGAAAATAAAAAAGATTTGAAAGTTGTGAAAATTAGAAGTGATCATGGTGGTGAATTTCAAAATAAATTTTTCTATAATTTTTGTGCTCATCATGCTATAACTCACA